TATGGAGGATTCTACATCAGAAGTTTACTTCTCGCTGTACGGAGTCACTCGGACTTTAATTCTGGCCTAATCAATTCAACAATCTACCTTTAGTTATACGTACATGGCATTATATTTTAGGGAGTTTCTATTACTGTCTCCCGAACGCATATTTGTACCAATCTAAAGCGCGAGTTTTTACTCAAATGCCCAGTTTTTAGATTCGAAAATGAGACGCCGAGTTGTTAATCCACTTTCAAAATGTTTACCTGAACATTCCGTCTGCTGAAGTTGCATTTTTGCTCACATAGTGGACTTTGCGCTGTAAATTCCACAAAGATCGCCACGTCTAGATGATTTATCGTCCTGAAGCCCTTCTAATAAAGTTCGATCTTGAGCATGTTACTTTTCATACATTAATTTAACTGTGCGAACTTCAGGAGCGTGGCTGTTGCAAATAGGATCTCAGATCGAGTTAAGTTGTGTTAAGAAAACAGTTTGTTTTCGGTTCTTAAATTGGATAAGTCGCTGATTTGTGTTTCCCTACCCCAGTTGTCCTGATCCTTCATTAATATAGACGTCGTTTAAAACGATGAAAACGGATTTCTTCATTTTTATCTTGGTCTTTGCTAATGATCTACTCCCTACTTCCTATTGCAGAGGTTAAAGTCGCGGACCCCGTGGTGGCTTTTTGTGAAACCGTGGTGGAAACATCCTCCCTAAAATGCTTCGCAGAATCACCAAACAAAAAGTAGGTTTGCAACCTTTTTTTGAAATGTTTTTTTGTTTGCCTAACTGCAGGTCGCTCACTGATTTAGATACCTCGTTAAGTCGCGAAAGTTCGTTCTGTAGGTCATCATAAGCATAATGAAGGTCAGTCAACCGACGTCCGAGTGAAAATTTGACACCAGGCCGTCCGCGAATCTTGTCGATGGCGGACTTAACCAGACTAAACAACGAAATGCAACCTTGTCGCAGACTAGACCGACCTTCAAACGGTTGGGAGAAATTTAATGGACCCGGAGTCCAATAATGTTGAAGTTATCTAAGGCCTCACCACAGCCGTAATTTTTGTCGGGGCGCACGGACTTTAACATTGCAATATGGCTGACGGCCGTCGATTGTTGCTAATGATGACAGAATTAAAGAATGCACTGCAGCCTGTGTATTTCAGTCGTGCGTACATGTCTAGTTTGTTTGGGTCTTGCCCTATTGGCATGATCACTTTGCAACCAATCAACCTTGTATGCGACTTGCACTGCAGTCTGCTTTGCTCTTTATCTTATCTTCCGTCTTAAGGACAGTTATAGGGTCTAACGATAGTTGCGGTACTGGCAAACTGCGTTGCAGAAGGATACCGTTCTGTCCCAAGTAGTCGTGATGGCAGCCTGAGTAGACATTGTCTCAAGTTTGATGTTCAGAGGTGTCAGCAAGGTTCCACTATCTGACAGCACCTGCTACCGTGCACCCAACTTCCTGTCATATAGCCAAATCAAGAGGAACTTGCTTGTCGAGTCCAGCACAGGGGTATCCTGCCGCTGCTCGCCTTCACCGAATTCTGTGGAATAGACATTTGACCAATTAAACTGTGCTCCTTCTAAACGAGTGCGAAACATGGTCTGTATGCTCAAAACATGTGCATCGCCTATATGTGTGTTGGATTGGTAGTGTTTATACCTTATTTTATGAATTAATGTCGCCAACGCCGAATACGCACTTGCGAATGCAACCTGCTAACTGTACGCGCTTTACTCCTTGACTTATAAGGCTTTTTCGTGTGCTGCACGGCCATAGAAACGAATTCGTCCGTACTTTTATGCCACTCGAGCTCATCTGTGTTTAGTAGGGAAGGCATGGAGAATCGTTCTAAAGTTTATTGAACTTCTTCCTGAAGTCTACCACTGACCGAATTGACATTTATTCATTCGTAGTCCGAGAAGTGTACCGCATGCAGTCGACCGGGTCATTAATAAATGCCGATGTAGGTACAGGCCTTTAATTAAACCGAGCAAACAGGTCGTTTGGTTGACACAAGTAACACGGTATACCATAGGGATAGCACGCGCTCTAGCTAAAAACCCAGACAAGCGTGTTTCTCGGGACTTGTGCCATTGCTGGACGTAGTTGCGAGGGGTTCGGCTCATCGGTGGGTCGCCCAGCGGTCTCCGAGTGCCTTCTAGTAGCTACGAGAATTTTGCTATTTTATTTTCTCTCGGATGTTAATGTCACATGCCGTAGTAGATAATTTCAAAGAAAGCTTCGGCGGTTCGGTCAGAAAAGGGTAATGCACATTTCAGCCTCAGTGGAATAACCCTGTAATACTCATAAACAGGCAGTCAGTAGTATACACACTTTGCATGATTTACCTTACGGCCAATTGGTGGATAACCAACTAAGCAGGCTATTCAGTGAGAGGCAGTGAATACTTCTTCGTGGATTCGCAAATTATGCAATTTTCTTTATGTTTATCTTTTTTCAAGGAACAAACTCACCATGATTGCGGAACCCCTGGATAAGGGTCTGGCCGAGGACATTGAGAACAAAGTGGTACGGATAGACTGGCCGAAAAAGCGACTTGGTGAATTCTTCCTCAAGAAATACGAATGGGACTTTTTGGCCGCTCGGTAATTGTTGTTTTTTTTTGTTCCGAATTTTTCTAAAAGGCGCATGAATCCCGCGAAAGGCGGAAATTGTATACGTCAATTGTTTGTGCCGTATTTTAAACTCTCGTCTTGCTATTGTTGTCGACCACATTCTTCCCCCTCACCCGCTAGGCTCCGATTGCTATGTGATGGTAGTTTGGTGTACGCGCGTTGCCTGACAAAGTCAAATAACTCATCTATGCCTGCCAAACAAACGGCTCTCAAGCCATCTTCCAACATGTATTACGAGTATTCTTGCGGTGGCGTCATAAATTGTTTTGGTTTGCACAAATATCGATTTTCGCCCAATCATTTTCTCTTTTCCCAATAAAATATCCTAGTTTTATATTCTATGCGGGACAAGGCCTATGGGAGCTAATAGGTCAAATTCCCAGCGTCTCCGTTAAATGTTTACTTTTGAGTCGCCATGTTTCATCAACTTTACTATATGCTAAGTGTGTTTTGGTCTGGCCAATGTTTTTGCCCCGAACTCCATTGCAAAGGAATGTCAGATGAATCCCGCTGCTGTATAAGTCATACTTAGCCAGGAAAACAATCGGTCTCAAAGTAATCTCTGTGACTTATAAGCACGGTTTAGAACCCGCACTTTTACGTACGATATCTTCACCGCAGGCTTTTTTTACTAACACCTTAAATATATCGGAATTTCGGGCGAATATGCGTTCCGCGATCTATTGGCTGTATCCACGCCTTCGCTGCACCTCGCTTAATTTAGTCCGCAGGCAGGCTGGCTTGATTTATTGATAAATTAACCCTTTTCTTACATTTTCTTCAGTTCTGTTTGGGCCTTTGGTCCTGATGCCACCGGGCCCAATATCTTGGTCGATGACACGCTTCCCTCAGAAGTGGACAAGGCCCTTCTGGGCTCAGTAAGAGACTATATTGTGCAGGTATGTTTTTTTATGCGTGACTATCCTCCCTACCGTGTCAGCTTTTTAATTTGTATGGTTGTCAAATAAGCCACCTATCTAATGCGCTTGCGTTTTACTATCCCTGCCGAGAGTTTGCCTTTCACTTCCCTTTTCCAAAGATCGCGCTCCCTTAGTACTTGTAAGTTCGACCTACTATTTACTCCGAGACACGTATACTCCTATGTACTAATACTAGATGAGTATTTTTGTCTCTGTATCCTAATCGGTTTTATAAGCCCTCAATTAAAATCCGCTAGATCAGTATGAGCTTATTTGTATTCCTGCGAAGTTTCACTGGTGTCCCCTGCCTGAGGCGTGGATCGCCGAAGCAGGTGTGGATGAGCCGCAGGCAGTTTTAGTCTTTGCCTCGTCCTTTTCTTGGCCAATCCACTGTTTGCTTAGTTGTCTAGTGGATGTTCAACTAGGTTCCCACAACACCCTGCGCTGGGTCAAAACGGGGCCGTGCTGGCTCACGGCACCCATTAATAGGGTTGCGCTAGGTCCCCGTGAGACCATATCCACTGCAGTACACGCGTATGGTGCATGGTCTTCGATGTAAACCTTCAGCCCATGTCAGCGGTTGCGCTCTATTCCATAAGTCGTTAAGTGTGCTAAATGTCGT